TAACAATTTTCTTACTAACTTTCAATTTGAAATTTTTGTAAAATCGTAATATTCTGTGTGGTGTTCAAATAAAGGTATTATTAATTTTTCGAGAATTTAAGTGCATATACTACTACTACTACTACTATTAATATATTGGAGTACAATGATGAATACATTACTGTTGATACGATAATAATTACTATTACCCAATAAATTGCCAAAAATATTGACCAATAATTACGGTTATATTCATTGATTTCCACACAAATATCATTGAGTTTACGGAATATATTCATTAAACGTATGATTTGTTTGCGTTTATTATTGCAACAAAACTCGTGATTAATTGCTTGTTGTTTTAATCTCAAATAATAGGCAATAATCGTGTAGTAAATTAATTGCCACATTAGTATGTTGTTCATATGATACAATACCAGTGCCCATAGTATGCTATGGGGAACGGCGTATAATATAATTGTATATCCAGGTAAATCTATTGATAGTACGAATAAGGCTGCCAAAAAACATGCAATATTCATACAGCGTTGTTACTAAATAAGGAACCCATTTGAGGGGCTTGCTATTTGGACACCCTGTATTATTTTTTTGAAATTCTTTCATAAACATAAACTGGAATAGTTAGATTTTTGTTTGGTATACAACAACCCAATATTTATATAAGCCATATATTTTTTAATTAAATTCTTTAAAAAATTTGGTATAAATTTGACATTTTTTGGCTATAACTCTAAAATTATTAAAAGTTTGACAAATATTACAAACTGTAATTAATAAAAAAAATTTCATTCGAATAACTAAAGTTTCTTACATTTGACAAAATAATGATTTTAGTCAATATAACAGTTTATAATAATATTATTTATTTTGCAAAATATATTTATTAAACTGTAATTTTTTATAATATTATTAATTTTTTAAATATCTCAAAATTTATATAGTTTAAATAAGATATTTTATATATTACAGTTTGTAATATTTGTCAAATTTTTAATAATTTTAGAGTTATAGCCAAAAAATGTCAAATTTATACCAAATTTTTTAAAGAATTAAATTAAAAAATATATGGCTTATATAAATATTGGGTTGTTGTATACCAAACAAAAATCTAACTATTCCAGTTTATGTTTATGAAAGAATTTCAAAAAAATAATACAGGGTGTCCAAATAGCAAACCCCTCAAATGGGTCCGATGTTTAGTAACAACGCTGTACTTGAACAGCATATTAAGCTAATTTTATATAGACATCCCATTCCCAACATCCTTAAGTAGGTGTATTAAGTAGGTGTATGTGTCAACCGGAATGTGTTTTCAAATGTTTGTTTAAATTACTTTTCGTTTTAAACCGTTTGCCACATTCAGGCCAATAGCACTCGTATTTGGCAATAGGATTATGGGTAGCCTTATGGCCGTAGAGATTCAAGTAGCTGTTGCTCCGGTACTCACAGCCCGCCCACTCACACGCATAAGGTTGTTCTGGATTGTGAATCTCCCGGTGCTTACGCAGTGCCCACTTGTTTTTTGTCTTATATTTACAGCCGGACCACTCGCACGGATACACTCGACCCGAATGCAGTAGTCTATGAGTATACAAACTTCGCTTATTTCTTAACACCCGTCCACATCCACATTTTTAAATTAATATCGTAAGGAGTTTATTTTTACATTTTATTAATACATGATAATTAATACTGCAAATTAGTGATCAGTGATTGTCATTTGTACAATAAAATTTTTTAACATTCAAATTTAGTATTCAGTTATTTGGTATAATATAAATATATTAAATTTTTTATTGATTTCAACAAATAGATCCCATGTCTTTCGAAATGTGGTTTAATCTATTGTATGAACCATTAAATGATGTCTAAAATTACATGATTGTGTTGTGTCTGATGTGTCCATTCGTGTGACATTGCATTTGACGCTTTCGTATGCACTGATAATGGCATCCATTGACTGAACACTTCAGTGGTTTGTCCACAGAGTGTGTGAACCAGTGTTTCTCCAAAGTGTACTTCCGGTCAAACACTCGGCCACAGCCACTGTAATCGCATTCAAAACTCTTTAACCCTTTGAGTGAATGCCTGTCATTGATGTGATCCCTGAGTGCTTCCGGTGTCCTAACCATCGCATCGCACGAGTAATGATTGCATTTGAATAGGCATTCATTCTTGTGATCCATTTCCATGTGTTGCTCAAGAGATGTCTTGTCAGTGGATAAGTAACCGCAGTCTTCGGCCACACATTTATACCTATTATTTGACACATTATTTGATTTGAGCACTGATTTGGTGTCCGTTTCATGTGATGTGTGTTTGTCTTTGGTTTCATTCAAACCCTCATAAGTGGTGACCATTTGCTGCGGACTAGCGTTGCATTCAATCTTCACTTTATTATCAGTAATAGTGTCAACCATTGTCGCCATTATCTGATCCAATCTTGAGATCATTTTATTTAAACATTCAAATGATTTCTCGAAGACATTGCCATCACTGGTGTCACCCATAGTCTTATCATTGGATCCACTCTTGTGTTCATTCATAGGATGTGTTGATATCTCTTGGGATGTACTGACCCTCTGTTGCAGATATCTATCGCTTCCGCTGACGACTGTCTTAAACAACAACTTCTTGTAAGTGATGTCCATTTGATGAGACAATTCATTGAACAGTCTTTTGTTGTCTTCAGTCAACACATCCACCAAATCATTGATAACTATTTGAGACATTGTTTTCATAATCAATACATCAATGTTATGTCAAATGAACACTAAATCTACTGTTAATTGCATTCAAAATGCAATTTAAAAATCGAGTTTCAAATCAATTGTTTTGTAAACAAATTGACGCCAAATGTACACAAAGTATGTCTAAAAACATACAATAATTTAATGAATTGAAAAGGTGCATGATAATTGATTGAATCATAATTAATAAGTAAATTAGAAAATAAGTTTAGCCGTCGATAAACGTGTCAAACAATACAAACAAATATTTGTATAAAAGTTTTATATTTATTGAAAGCAAACACGCGTTTAATGTTTAACTTTCTTGTGATAATTCAATAAACTTTTATTACATGTGCTATAATGACAGACATCGCACGTGTGAATCACCCCCTTATGGGTCAACATATGCCCCCTCAGCACGTCCTTCACTTTGAACCGTTTGCCACATTCAGGCCATACGCAGGCGTACTTCCGGACACCCGAGCCGTGGCTGACCTCCCGGTGCCGGAGCACCGATTCGTTCCATTTGCTGCCGTACTCACAGCCGGGCCACTCGCATGCGTACCACTGGAGGCACTCGTGTATGCGCTTCCTATGACGGGTCACGGCATACATGTCTAGCGACGAGTACTCACAGCCGGGCCACTCGCACCGGTACGTGCGGCCCGAGTGCTTATACCGGTGGTAATGGAGGGAGTTCTCGGTCTTAAAGGCGCGGTCGCAGCCGGGCTCCGGGCACTTGAATTGGCGCAACACATTGGTGTGCACATCCCGGTGCGCTCGCAGCGACTTAGTGCTCGTGAACCGTTTACCGCAGCCGTCGTAATCGCACGCATACTGCCTGTCCACGGCGTGTGCGGTGCACACGTGACGTTGCAACAGAGAGGCGCTGAAGTAGGCCTTACGACACCCCTCATAGCCCGTGCACTGGTGGGGCCGCACGTTGTTATGTCTGTTCATATGAGTGGACAGTTGGTCGGCCTTTACGCACGAGTAGTCGCAGCCGTCGACCGCGCATTTCAACGGCTTATCCGTCGTATGCGTCAGTCGATGGCGCCGGGCATTGACCGGCGTTTTCGACACTTTTCCGCAGCCAATGTAATCGCATTTGAGAGCATCCAGGTTCCGCCGGCGGCCCCCCTTTTTGCGCACTTTTGTATGGCTCGACACGTGCTTCACGAGCAAACTCTTATGAATGAACCGTTTGTCGCATCCGTCGTAATCGCACGCAAACGGTGTGTACTGTTGGTGAACGACCCGCACGTGGAGTTTGAGACCCGTTTCGGTGGAGAACTCTTTGACGCACGAGTCATGAGAGCACCGGTAGGGACGGACACCTCTGTGCCGATTCATGTGAGCCTTCATTTGGTCCCTCTGGCAGTCATTGACATCACATTTAATGGGTTTGTCTTTCGTATGTCTGTAGTCATTGGACATGGGTTTGGATCTCTTGAGTGACTTCTTGGTATCGTTTGGTTGCCATTCATCTGATTCATCGCTTGTGTCCACTTTGGGTGACCTCTTCGCCCGTCGACTCGTATTCAAGGATTGTTTCGCTCTTTTCGGTGTCCCTCCGGGTGTGATGTCTTGGAGCAGTGGTTTGAGTGATGTCTCACTCGTGAGTTGATTGTAGTTATGATTGAATGTATGAATGGTTTGTATTAAGTGTTGATTTTCATCGCATTTACAGTTTTGTATCAAAACTAATGCATTGTTT